TCCTCCTCCTCCTCCTCCTCCTCCTCCTCCTCCTCCTCCTCCCTCCTCCTCCCTCCCTCTCTTGGTATTTCATCAGAATTAAGGTTGGCTTGTATTTTGTTGTTATAATTATAAGTTGTTTTACATGAACTGGTAGTTAATATGTAACAAAATTCATTTGCAGTGACAAGTCATTGAAGTATCTTAGAAAAGGTTGTAAGCAGCTAAAGATGCTGACCATGCTCTACTGCAAGAACATCACAAAGTAAGTACATCCATGCATTATCACTTCACCATTGTAATCATAATTCTAATTAGGTAACACTTATTATGAGAAAGACGTTGACCAATCAGAAGGCTCCATTTCCCATTGGTTATCAGATCGTAAACCTCAAAAGTGGTTGGAATAACTAACCACTTTTTGGACCTTACCATTATGATCATCTGGCAAAGGTATGAGGTCGTGGAATTCTTGTATATACAATGTAAATACATGTGTGTATATGTGTATATATAGAATACAACACAGGGTATTCCATTTCGCCCGAGGTACCAGTCCGACCGCGCGTCGGATTGCCCGAAGGCCGGAGGGAGATCTGACTCGCGGGAGGGCTGGGTCCAAGGGCGGGAGGGCTGGGTCCAATGGTGATGCAGAATACACCGTGTTGTATTTTATTTAATATGTCATACCCACCCAAGAAATCACGACTTTCAATGCGAAATGAGCGAAAATTTGGTGTCCCTAAACCCAAAAAATGCGACAACATCAATTCCAACATCCGGATTTTGTATTCGTTATGTTTGTTTCTTTATTTAGGAATCTCCCATTAGTTAATAATATGTACATCACTATTCTTCCTGGAGTCCTATACAACATGAAAATACAACTATTATTGAGTTACATTTACTTCAACTGCTATCATTGACATTATGCTTCAGGAAAACTTATCTTAACAACAATTTTAAACATCAATTATTACATCAATTATTACAACAATATTACACTATACAACCATCAATCAATAATGTTACAATATACAATTAGCCAAAAACAATTTTGTAATAGATGTCTGAGAGGTCAGAGGTCATGAAATTGTGCAGAATATGCGGCCCAGGTATGACATAAATGTATGTATGTAAAAATGTACGTACATACTAAGTTAAACGTAATTTACTCCTGTCTCCTCTACAGACCAGCAGTCAATAAGATCCGAGGTAAGGTGGAGCAGGTGGAGTACAGCACAGATGAAGTTCCTGCCTACTTCAACTACTCCAAAAAGTAGTTGACACCAACATAACGGGCTCCTGCATCTGTACAACCAGTGTGTTCTTCTATAATTGTTGACCAGACTTGTATGTAAATATCACTACAGTGACGTGTATAGATGAATTGTGAGATCATCTTTGACCTCAGTTACCTTTTATATACTTAGTCCTTTTTCACTTGGTAGTAATTTAAAAGTAAAGTAAACCTTATTTTCATGTGTTAGAACTAGACTGTTGCATTCTATGTTGACACTTTTAAGCTTATTGATGATTATTTCTTTCTTTTATATATGTACTACGTGGATATGAGGCACTTTTTTGCCCAAAAACAATATGCTGTCTCACTTTGTATTTGCATACAAAAGTTACCATTGCGGCAAATGTGTCCAAGTACTTAGTACTATCAAGGACATTATAATGTCCTTGGTACTATGTTGCAAAATGACAGTTCTGATATAAGGGACCATTCATTTTTCATGGAGGAGCTCATAGCATTCTTGACTTAGAAAAATATTGCCTCAAAGCTACATGCAAACTGAGTTAAAGGTTTACTGAAAGAGCTGAAAGATCATATGCTAACTGTGGGAAGCGGTGTGGCTAGCAACACCTATCAGAGGGTCTGCATGGGGGGTCCTGATTACGCTTTACGCTAAATTTATGGAGGCCCGCAACGCTTTACGTTAAATTTCCGGAAGGCTGGCAACGTTTTACGCTAAATTTTCGCCTCCTCACTACGAATAACGGTAAATAAAATGACTTCCCTACGAATTACGGGAAATTATAAAGAGGCCGCCTACGCCTTACGGAAAAGAGCATGCAGACCCTCCTATCAGACATCGACACTATCATGAAGCAAAATGTCCGCATTCCTCCGAAAAAGTAGTGATCGTAAATTGTATAATGATCGTAGATTAAAGAGCCTCTCCCTTGCTCTTGCTTATTTACCCAAGAATAAGACGAGGAGTGTTTCCCATGAAGTTTGGACAGTTTTGTCAGAAATTGTGTTGAACTTGAATCCTGCAGTATGTATATTTCAAAATCTTGTGACTATCTTACAAGGACAATAAAGTGGCAACATTGGTCGTCTGTTGTACATGATCAACAGAAACTAATTATTATATAGGAGAATGTGAATATCTTTATTATACGTCTTCCACATCTTTACAAACACTGGGGAGAGGACCATTGTTCAATACAATATACATGTACAAGTAATTACACCCTTTTAAACTCATAGTCATCAAATTTCCCCCGTACGCCCGCACACATAGGCCTTCTTCACACGAAACCGCCTGACATGCGCGCATTCCTCACGTCTGGTTCACGTGCCACACGTTCCTTTCAAACCGTGCCCGATCACGATGCGCCAAATCTACATTCAAAACACGCAAGATAAGCGTGTTATTAATGTCAGAGGTCAACGAACCTGCTTGCTGCTTCCCCCCTCCCAGCGTACCTCGGCCGAATGCCAACGTGGTCCCGCCAGAGGCGGTGAAGCTCATCGTAGAATGGGCACAGTATTCGGCCATTACTGCTCTTTAAATCATACATACAAATGCATTGTGCCTTGGCACGATCGTGCGGTTGTTTTATGTAGACCATGCATCCTGGGCCATATCGTTTCCATACCCGGCATGGAATTCCCCTGCCTGAAAATGACGGGCCTGTGCTTATACAGGTTAACCTGAGTGATTGGGAAACAAAAAGAAACAATAGCAAACTAGAAAGGCCGACATTTGCTTGGGAGCAAATGCAGCAGATGGCTTCACCACATCCCCCATACCAAAAATGGATCTATCCCACTGTAACAGTACAATCTCAGGGCCTGGAGACCCCGGATGCTGACCCAGTTAACTCTTGACTTCCAGTATCCTCTGTAGGTTTGAGAACCACTTTCTGCGAGGTAGCCCGCCGGCTAGAACCGGTTTGGGTCATTTGCATTTACTTCCAACCAATCAGGAGTAAGCTTTCAACTGATCACCTACTGTCAATCATGTAAAGATCTTGGATGTATAGCTTGGTCTCTCCGATCTTCGGGGAGTCGAGTCAAGTCGAGAGAGAGAAGAGAGAGAGACCAAGGCGTCGTCCGGTCACCCGGGTCCGAAGCGTCCGTCTACTCCGGCCAGGAGTTAGTAGCTTATAATGGTTCCGTGAGTCTAGATTAGCGGGTCTACTTACCTTTGTAGATCGGAGCCTCCCGTCACTTCTGACTAGGTATGTAATAACTTTCTAGGTAACATTTGTGTTGTGCTTTAGTCAGGGTTTTAATTAATGTGTAGTGTTCATGTACTCTTGTAGCTCTTCCGTGATGTCCAGTTAGTCCTTTTCCACATGTAGTTGATTATACTGTATCGCCACTGTTATATATACTTATAGAACCGTTAGAACCTGCTTTCCCCTGGCTTGTGTCTGACTTGCCTGACTTTGTATTAGGTTCGGAATTGAATGAATAAACTTCCGGTGGTGCGATCGTATCCCGTGGCTCGTGTCGATCCATCTGGTTCAGCTAACGTAGTGAGAGTACGTTTAGTGTTTAAGACCTAGGATTGACGGTAATCCGCCCTAGACCTCGACAATACTTGGGAAGCAGCGAAAAGACTGTTGTTACAAATTTGGTTCCCACACCCAACCACTGTGAATTCCGTTCCGAATTTATGTTCAAATTGCTTCGGACACGTTCTACGTCTTGATCTCTCTCTCCGGCTCCAAATTGTTTGTTTTTCGTAGCGTCCAACCGCCCCCCACCCTTCGGTCATCAATCCAAACTTGTTCCGTCCCCGCCCGACGCTTCGTACAAAGTTCTCGTGTACCTTCTTCTCGACCTCGTAATTCGTCCCGCTTACAGTACCGTAACTCCATTGTTCACTTGCATTTTTCCAATTTTTACCCTTCCTTCCTTTTTGCGGTTGTGTGTTTCTAACATCTCGCACCTCCTTGTTTTCGCTGCCTGTTCTCTGAGTTCTGCCTGCCTGTCTGTTGACTTCGGTTGAGTATTGTAACATTTCTCCTGCCAGTGTGTTGTTCGTTTACTCCGTCCTGCCCTTCCCATTCGTTGCAACTGTTCGTCTTATGGGGTTACGCTCCGTTTTTGTGTCAAGTTTTGATACGAATTTTTGCAGTTGTAAAATTATGTTCTGTGTATGCCTGGTTCTGCCAGTTGGGCCAGGTAGCGCCGTCGTGTGTCGCTGAGCGGACCCGACACACATTCCCCCTATAATTTTACGTTCCTGTTTTGTAGGCTTAAATATTGTTCTGCATTTTTGAAGTTGTAAAATGCGCTGTGCTTGCCTTGTTCCGCCCGTTGGACCAGCTCAACGTCGTGACAAAATCCTCCTATTTTATGTTTTTGCACAAGTATCCGGATTTTGCAAATGACAAATTATTGTACTGTGAATGTCTTGTCCGGCTATTCCTCCTAGTTTTGTTTTCATCTCGCGTACTTCAGTCTTGTTCTAGACTTCTCAGTCGTAGTGTTCTGTGAATGCTTTGTCCCGCCAGCTGGGCCGGCTAGCGTCGCCGTGTGCGGCCGAGGGGCCCCGTCAGACATTCTTCTAATTTACGTTCCGTTTTGGTGTAGTTTGGTCTTGATATGAACTTTTGCGGTGGACAAATGCTCTGTGTAAATTGCCTTGTCCGTCTTGTTGGACCTGCTAGCGTCGTCCGGTGTCGCCGAGGGGCCCGTTAATAATTGTTTTCGTTTCGTTCTTGCCTTGTTATATGTATAGATCTGAACTTTGCCAGTTCAAGGCGAAGCCGAGGTGGCTCTCTGTCGTTCCCGCAGATGTTATTCTTTCATGATTTTTTTTCCTATCTCGTCAGAAATCTCCGGTTTCAGTCCGGACAGTTGTTCCCTGTACGTATGTGTTTTCATGGTCTTTGCAAATCCTTGGGCGGCCTCATGTGTCAAATTGCCACAGTTTCCGTGTCGTCAGGGGCCCACCCGGTGACTGAAACGTTACTGTCCTTTATCCTTATAATGATCAGGGTGTTTTCTTGTGTACTTTGGTTCAGTTGTGATACTAACGTAATCCGGTGCGCAGATATTCAGTTTTAATGGTTTTGTGTGAGTTGTATCACTAGCTATATAGTGTACTAGTGTACTTGTGCTCCCATAGCGTAAACTTTTCAGTGATGATATTCTGGTCCGTTGTGTTTCGTGGTTGTTTTCCCATCCTGCCTGTCTACTACCTGGCTTTGAGTAAATTCCCTGGTTCTGTCAATGGTTTTAGACAGTTCTGGGACGTAACTAATCGGGATTGTGCAGGGACGTCTATGCCGCCGTCTCGAGTGTCCGTCACCTTCCGGCCAGCCTCCTGAAAACCATCTGTTCCCCTTCCCCATAGTCCTGGCGTGTTCTGTGACTGACAATGCCGCCGTGGCTAGGCCTACTTCCCAGCCTCTTCCCACGTTCGTCTCTGAGGTGCACCTTTGTTTCACCGGGGCCCGCCCTCCCCGGGGACCCGGTGCGTGCGCTTCCTACCTCCTCCCTCGCATTGCTCACCCGTTCCACCTCGTCTGGTCCTTCTAACTTTCGGCCGTCTCTAATTCACGCTTGTCACCCATCAATGTCACCTGCCAATTATCCTTCCCTCCACCCTATACTTCTGCTGATCCACGTGTGTCCCTCCCTTGCCCATATCCTGTTACGCGTACCCACGTCGTTATTCCGCTGACTCGGTCCATTACAACCGTTTACTCATTCCGCTGTCCATCACCCGGGGCGCTTCTGACTTCCTTACTAAATAGGTTGACTCTTTTCCGCCCCCTGAAGAAACAACTGACAGCGTCAACCCACTAAATGTACTGGGTACAGACCCCCAGACCACCTCAGTTCTTTCCTCCTATCAAGGCTGAAATTTCAGCATTTGTGTCAACTCCTTGCATCAATAAAACCAGGGCCACTCCGTCCCACCCCCATACTGTCACTCAAAAATGAATTAGCAAATAAGAGCGCCGGAGAGAAGTCTTTGTCTGAAGAGTACATTGTCGGTGTTCTAACTCCTAAACACCCGGGGCCTAGGGATTCTAAGATTTTGAATTTTGAACTGCTAACCCACTATTTCCCCCAACAAGCGGACCCGGATTACGTTCCGGGTCCACGTCGTCGTCGACCAGCTAACCGTCGGCCTAGGGCTCCAAGGCCAAGACCTGTGGCCGCCACCACTCCGGCCGCCCCGGCGGCTCGGGACCCGCCAAGGGTCCCCTTAACCGCCCTGGGAAATCCCCGGGGCACCCCCAGTTCTTCTGTTTCAGGGTCAGCGAGACAGGGCCAGACCAATAACCGCGACGACCAGTCGCATGACGGTGATGCCACACCGTCGAATCCAACACAGGGGCGGACGTCTCCCTACCAACACGACCGACAGGCACCGCGGTCATCACCGCCTCCAGGAGGCCCACGTCCGGGCAGTGTTATTCTTCCCCCTTCCTCAGGTACGCCATCCGAGCCAGTTCCAGCGGGTCCTGCACGTGAAGGATCCAAGCGGGCCGTAACCGTTGGCACCAGTGAGTCAACAGCCCGAGACCACGCCGGAGCTGAGCAGTCCAACCCGGCCCGGACCGGAGGGTCAGCAGTTCCTGTCCCTCGGGGTGACGAGCAGTCCATCCCAGTTCCCGCCAGAGGGTCAGCAGTTCCTGTCCCTGAGGGAGATGACGAACCCGTCCCTGTCCGCACCAGGGGACCGGCAGCTCCTGTCCCTTCTCTCCCCTTTCTATTAGGAACACCTACCCGGTGTGTTCGTGGCCACGCCAGAGCTGAGCAGTCCAACCCTGCCCAGACCGGAGGGTCAGCAGTTCCTGTCCCTGGGGGAGACGAGCAGTCCATCCCAGTCCTCGCCGGAGGGTCAGCAGTTCCTGTCCCTGGGGGAGACGAGCAGTCCGTTCCTGTCCTCGCCGGAGGATCAGCAGTTCCTGTCCCTGGGGGAGACGAGCAGTCCATCCCAGTCCTCGCCGGAGGGTCAGCAGTTCCTGTCCCTGGGGGAGACGAGCAGTCCATCCCAGTCCTCGCCGGAGGGTCAGCAGTTCCTGTCCCTGGGGGAGACGAGCAGTCCATCCCAGTCCTCGCCGGGGGATCAGCAGTTCCTGTCCCTGGGGGAGACGAGCAGTCCATCCCAGTCCTCGCCGGAGGGTCAGCAGTTCCTGTCCCTGGGGGAGACGAGCAGTCCGTTCCTGTCCTCGCCGGAGGATCAGCAGTTCCTGTCCCTGGGGGAGACGACGATTCCGTTTCTGCGTCAACTCGCGAGGGGGTTCCCGATCCGTCGTTCAAACCGCGTAACACCCAGAGTACCATTGACGAACCTTCGGACAATGATAGTTTGGTTTCGTCACAGTATTCTCGGCCGTCGGACTCGTGTAAACCGGCCGTACGTATCGAGAAGTGTGAGGGGCTTTCGGACATTTCTATGCCTGCCCCCGGAAGATCTGCGCCTACACCATCTTCAACACCTGAACCGCGTCTGGCAAGACCTCAGCGTCGTCGAACACGCCCTAGGCACCTAACAGACTTTGTATGTCATGGGGACTATTCATTGACTGGTAGTGGTAGTAGTGATAGTGATTAGTCAGTAGCGAACATGACCATGTTCAGGTTGCCATTCAGGTTCTCGACAGTCTCAATCGCCCAGAAACAAATTCAGGTTCGACCCCCCACCCACGCGACTTTCAGCTCGGCTGGCTCCGTTTCCTCCTAAGTTCCCGGTGTCCATTTCTTGACCTTTTTTTCCATTCGGCTCTCTTCCATGAACGTGTCACATCTGTACGGTCTCGAACGACACCGTTTTCGTACGGTAGGTTTCCGCGAAAGTGAAACCTGATGACCTTGTCATCCTGGTCATCCAAATAAGTAGAGCACGAGTTCCACGCCAAAAGTGGAACCGACGTTTTCCGTCAGTTAGCTAGTTAGTTAAGGGCACGAGTTCCATGCCAAAATTGGAACCGACGTTTTCGTCAGTTAAGTAGTTAAGGGCACGAGTTCCATGCCGAAAAAGGAACAGATGATTCGTCATCCTTTTTTTTTTTTTCTCTTTTAACGTTATTGTTGTCGCAGAGGCGCGGCTGATCCCAAAGAGTGGATGCGGTCGGTCTCTGGTTCTCGATGGATGCGGCTCGGAGATAGCCGGTCACCGAGGTCTAAATTTCGTTGGACGCCTGTTGTCCCGTTCCGGGTACTCACCCTTCTGAAATTGGTGTCACCTAGATGTCACCGCACATCGTAACATTTCGCCTCCTTGAGGTCCAAAATTGTCTTTTGTGGTGAGGCTTTTAGGGCTCCCCGCGTTGCACCGTTCAGGGCCGTTCGCCCTTACTCACAAGGCATCCTTCTTCCAACAATGGTGTTAAAAGCCACTCCGGTGGGCACCGTGGACACCGACAACCTCGGGGTCCCGTCAGGATGCACTAATTGCTACGGACGACAAATTGGGGACTTCCCCCACGTCCGTCTTTCACGTCACAAACAGTCCTTTCCGAACCTTGTGGGGAAATGCCTTTAACCGGTCGGTCCAACGGACCTAGGGGTCCCCACGAGCCAGAGAAATGCCCTTAATCGGGTGTGGAAGAACGCGACCACTCCCGTGGGTCATCTGTTATGAGGATTGCGACTGTTCTGTGGGGAGGTGGCCAAATTTCTACCTCCCCCTCCTTTTCTTTGAACCGACGTGACGTTGCGCAAGTTGCAATGCGCTTTCTTCGACAGCCAAAACGCTGTCGCACGGTAGCAACGTCAGCTCATGGCTGTCACACAGGGACCGCTCTCCTTCACCACTTAAGTTTGGCCTCCGTGCGGCCTCTGCTGCACCGCGATGTTTCGGTGTAAATTTCCGGGGTTTTCCGTGCCCCCGGTGAGACCCGTTCTAGACTTTCGGACGTCCAAATCATATCACACAAAATAACAAAATTGTTCACACTAACTAGTATAAGCCATCTCAATTCATCTCATGTTATGTTATAGACGCGTGGCTGATCCCAAAGTGAGGATACGGGCGGTCTGTGGTTTTTAGTAGTTAGGAAATAGACGCGTGGCTGATCCCAAGAAGGGATACGGGCGGTCTATGGTTTTTAGTAGTTAGGAAATAGACGCGTGGCTGATCCCAAGAAGGGATACGGGCGGTCTATGATTTTCAGTAGTTAGGAAATAGACGCGTGGCTGATCCCAAAGTGAGGATACGGGCGGTCTATGGTTTTCAGTAGTTAGGAAATAGACGCGTGGCTGATCCCAAGAAGGGATACGGGCGGTCTATGATTTTCAGTAGTTAGGAAATAGACGCGTGGCTGATCCCAAAGTGAGGATACGGGCGGTCTATGATTTTCAGTAGTTAGGAAATAGACGCGTGGCTGATCCCAAAGTGAGGATACGGGCGGTCTATGGTTTTTAGTAGTTAGGAAATAGACGCGTGGCTGATCCCAAAGTTGAGGATACGGGCGGTCTATGATTTTAGTTGATAAGAACGAGCCTTGCCAAGTACTGAAGATTTCGAGATGTAGCTGGGGGTTGACCTTGCTTCCCTTTTGAGGAGCCGCGTGTTTTTTCACTGCTAGTCCCCCCTACCCTCTTCTCTGTAATCCGGGGCAACCAAAGCAGCGTCCGGCCTGGAGCGAATCCTTCTCTCCAGCCGTCGCTGGCACGCCTCTTACATGGTCATGGCCGTTATGGTAGTAGAATAAGGATAAGTGATGCCATTTTTTTTTCTATGTATTTTTTTTATGTATCTCGAGTTGTTATTGGGCACTGTGCACTGCCTTTGTAAGCTAGATTGGTTGCCGCTATTCGTAAACCGGTTTGTATTGTAAACGTCTTTGTTTAGTACCGTTAATCCGTATTTTATCTGTCACTGTCTGTATCCTTGTATTATCTTTACGTCGTGGTATGAAAGGTTGTTTTGTAATGTTTAATTGTCGTTACCTACATAGGTATCTCTTGTTGTTGAAAGTCGACTTATTATTTTTAATTTTTTTTAAACCCTTTGTTCATACTTATGCTTTCGCTTACAGAACGTGTAGTAAGTAGTTACCAGTGTTCTCCGCGTTCACTGTATATTTACCCACTGTTATGAGTATATACTTAGTAGTAGTTTTTTTCTGTAAACCGGTCGTACTTTTGGAGGCGAGGACGCCTCTTTGCGTTGAGGGGGGGATAGTTGTAACAGTACAATCTCAGGGCCTGGAGACCCCGGATGCTGACCCAGTTAACTCTTGACTTCCAGTATCCTCTGTAGGTTTGAGAACCACTTTCTGCGAGGTAGCCCGCCGGCTAGAACCGGTTTGGGTCATTTGCATTTACTTCCAACCAATCAGGAGTAAGCTTTCAACTGATCACCTACTGTCAATCATGTAAAGATCTTGGATGTATAGCTTGGTCTCTCCGATCTTCGGGGAGTCGAGTCAAGTCGAGAGAGAGAAGAGAGAGAGACCAAGGCGTCGTCCGGTCACCCGGGTCCGAAGCGTCCGTCTACTCCGGCCAGGAGTTAGTAGCTTATAATGGTTCCATGAGTCTAGATTAGCGGGTCTACTTACCTTTGTAGATCGGAGCCTCCCGTCACTTCTGACTAGGTATGTAATAACTTTCTAGGTAACATTTGTGTTGTGCTTTAGTCAGGGTTTTAATTAATGTGTAGTGTTCATGTACTCTTGTAGCTCTTCCGTGATGTCCAGTTAGTCCTTTTCCACATGTAGTTGATTATACTGTATCGCCACTGTTATATATACTTATAGAACCGTTAGAACCTGCTTTCCCCTGGCTTGTGTCTGACTTGCCTGACTTTGTATTAGGTTCGGAATTGAATGAATAAACTTCCGGTGGTGCGATCGTATCCCGTGGCTCGTGTCGATCCGTCTGGTTCAGCTAACGTAGTGAGAGTACGTTTAGTGTTTAAGACCTAGGATTGACGGTAATCCGCCCTAGACCTCGACAATACTTGGGAAGCAGCGAAAAGACTGTTGTTACACCACGATGGCTGCCAATAGTCTATACCCCCATGCAGCAATGGAATCTTCCAATGCCGGAAATAGCCAAAAAGCCCTATTTTACATAATTTTAAAGTGGTGTATATCAAAAGCGTGAATGACATTCTTTGGACATGTGTCCAAGGTATCCCCATACCGATTATCAGGTCATTTGGATTTAATATTTGGGCACAGGAGCCAAAAATGTACATTTTTGGTCCAAAAATAGCCAAAAAGCCCTATTTTTCACAATTTTAAAGTGGTGTATGTCAAAAGCTTGAATTAGGTTTTGCAGACATATGTCCAACGTATCCCCATACCAAATTTCAGGTCATTTGGTTTTAGTACCAGGGCTCCAGATCCCAAAATGTATATTTTTTGCCTGAAAATGGCCAAAAAACCAAATAAAACAATTTTTCAAAAAAATGAAAAAAACGTCTGGGGGTATTTGCCCACTCTACCCTCATGCCAAATTTCAGGTCATTTGGCTGAAAAACGGCTGAGTTGAATCCCTTTAAAGAAATGGCAGGAGGAGGAGAAGAAGAAGAAACATGAGGGAACACAATATGTCTTCACCACTTTGTGGTGAAGCCATAAAAAGTAAAATTACAAATTGTAGCTCAGCCTGTCCACATTTAATGCGTACAAAGACAGAAAGGTACCTATCTCTTCAACGGTTTCCGTTAGATTTAGTTTTATGTATTTGAACTTACTTGCTGCGACTGGTCGCCACCCTCACCTTATGTTTAAAGAGGAACACCTGTTCAGTAACGCTATACAAACAAATTTTAAAGCTCTCCTAACAACGCTTTTATATTCAACGCTGACTTTCAATCGTGGATGGACATTATACACATCGACAACAGTCTTTTTTAAGTTGGACACAAGATTTCAATTGTTACATTTTTGTCGCGTACATTGAAAAATTATGGCGTCGGTCGTGAACACCTGTTCGGGCTTGTCAGGACTGCGTTTCTTTCTGTACCGCTAAGAGTGAAGAACACTGAGGCCTGGTTCGGGTAGAATTCGCATTAGATCACGTCAGGTCTGGGTGAAAAACTGAGAGTTGGCGAGTCCGCAAAACATTTCGAAAGCGGAATTTCCTGGGGTGTGGCCGTTTGTACCACGAGTGGGTATCTGGGAAGGGGGATTCCCCTAGGAATGTTCCATTCTGAAACTAGACATACGAGGGGGATTTTAGCAGAGGACAGGGCGTAAATTTTGTCTGAAATTTTTCGTTTGGTACGCTTTGGTTGTATCTTCGAACGGCATGTCTCACGCACAGGTTACACCTGTTAACTATGAGCGTGCTAGCAAAATTAAGTCAGACAAATTGAATTAACATCAGGCCAATGCTTCCCACTCACGCAATCCCGAAAACAGCAATGGTGTTATTGTGGTTTTATCTTACAAATTTAAATCTCAGCTTTTTTTTATATTCCAGCATCTAACGTGGGGTGCCCTAATTCCGACCTACGCCTAATTCCATACTATTGTGAAAAATCCTTGCTGCGGCGTTATGCATGGCCAACATGGGAGCACGTGCCTAAAAATAACCACAAGAATGGACAAAGTTTTTGTGTTGATATCGGTAATCTCACAAAGTTTGTTTTAGTTCCTACACTTCGACAACAGATGAGTGAAAAATCTGTTTGAATTCGACGCTTCTTCGGGGGTTGACGAGCGTGTCAAAAATGCGGGTTTTGCTTTTGAAACAGCCGCTTTGGAGCAGGTCGCGTAATCGTAAAAAGAGGATTTGTTTGGGACAGAAA